TGCATAACCTCAAATCGTTCGAATGTATTAATAGTATTTCTCAAAAATGAAATATGGCGGGTCATTTCTGTCAAGTTATTTACATCATCTAACTCCAACCTATGGCAAAACTTTCCATATTCAACTTTTGCCATATCATTAATAAGATCATGCATGACGAAACGAGTGTTATCTAATAGTGATCGTTGAAAAAGTGACCTCAATAACAGCTCATGGAAGACGTGTTTCTCCTACTTCTCTCGCATCTTTGCTTTGATGAGCACATGTCAGAAAATTTTCTCGCCATCCAAAGTTGAATTAAGTGCTCTTATCCAAAATCATAATCTTTAGGAAATATTGAACAATAAGCAAAACATCTTTTGAGATGAGAGGGGAGGTAGCAATAACTCAGTCTCAAAGCAGGGAGAATCTTGCTATCACTTTTGTCCTCCCATATCTCACTTTCCAAAATTTCATTCCATTGCTCAATGATGATTCTGTGTACAAGAGACTCCCAATGGCTTTCAAAGCCAAAGGCAGCCCTTTGCATTTTTTACTGATTTTTCTACCAATTTCTTCAAAGTCGGAGTTTGCACAATGAACATTTCCATCATGGAATCCATATCTACTAAATAATGACCAACTATCTCCTTCTGATAACGGCTTCAATTGAAGTATATTAGCAGAACGCATGGTTGAAGCAACTTTTCCACTGCGGGTGGTTAGAAGAATTTTGCTTCCTAGAGCCCCATGATTAAATGGTGATTGCAAGGCCTCCCATAGCATAAAATTTTCATTCCACACGTCGTCTAAAACAAGGAGAAACCTCTTTTGAGTTAGTTGTTGTTTCATTTAATTTGAAGCATATTTAAATCATTGGTATCATCCTTAGATCCAGTGATTGCCTCATAAATTGTTTTTGTTACCCTCAACACATCCAACTCATCAGAGACACACAAACCCAAACTTTGAGGTTGAATCCATCCATCACCCTTCTATCATTATATACGAGCTGGGCAAGAGTAGTTTTACCCAGACCACCCATACCCACTATAGAAATCACAGATAGTTGGTTGTTATACTCTTCTGACAGAAGCCATTCAATGATGGTTTCTTTGTCATCATCTCTGCCATATGTTCCCCGGCTTCATCCACTAAAGATGTAGTTGGCAATCTATCTGGTATAGCAGTTCTCAATCCACCACGACTATCACGTTCATTCAATCTCAATATGTCCCTCTGAGATGCAAGATATTCCAGATTTTCAAGGACTTTTTCGTCCTGGATTCAATTTCCTTCTCAAATGAACTAACGGGAGTACTAAAGAAGCTTCGTTCGTACCTTGCCAATAGCACTGGTTCGACTCTTTTGTTCCGCTTCCAGCTTGCGCTTGCACAATTCATAATCAATCTCATCCAAGACATCCTCAGCATCGAACACGGCATCTTTAACCAAATCAATCCAGTCCTTCACCTTCGGATTAGTGATCTGCTTTTGCTCTGCATCGTCAACCACGGCATCGATAGATAACAGGACGAACTTCAACTTATTGAGCAATGCCTGGTTCAATTTTGGTTTGTTGAAGAAGTCCAGAACATCCCGAGAAGCCAGCCTATCAAAAGCCACCTGAAGAAAAGCAGAAAGAAAAGCACCGCCGACGAAAGCTCCCGCCATAGATGAAGATGTTGTTGCTTGTGCAAATGAAAACCGAAAAGAACGTGATGAAAATGCGAGAGTGGGAAAGGTTATTGCAATGGAAGGAGTGTGACTTTGTGGTTTTGTGAGTGTGGCCAGAAAATGGCAAAATGCGTTCACTTTTTATCCTCCCGTCAACCACGCTACAAAATATCGATCAAAATGAAGACTTCGAGTTCCCAGTTCATTCCATTATTATACTTCTTTGACATTTCGAAGTGTTTTGGACTGCGTATTAATCATTTCATTATCATCTTCATCCCGTCAACCACGCAAGAAAATATCCATCACAGCACAGACTTGAAAGCGATCTTGCATTGTGCTTTACGATTCAATGGAGATTCCTCGCCTCATACCCTGAAATTATATATCTTTATTATATAAATTTATGTAAAAAAAATTTAATACAGTTTTTAATCTCGAAATTTAACTTCATTAAAGATTAAAGAAATATTAACCTTTTATATTTTTTTTATATAATGAAATGAGTGTTTGATACTTCTTATATAAGTAAATACTCCTCCAATCCTTAATATAAGACATCTTTAACTAATTTGATTAGATAAAAATTAGGTAAGTTAGTTTAATAAGAAATATAACATATTTTTCCTAAAATACCATAATCATCTTTCTCAATATCCTCCCTCTCTTCTACTTAATTATGGTTAGAGAATATCCACAGAGGTAATTTAAGAAAATTGATAAATATGAAAAATAAGTCTTATATTTAGGACCAAAATCAACTCAATAATTAGTATATATTAAGAACCCGAGGAGTATTAAATATGAGATATTGTTGATCTGAAATAGTGCAATTGTAATTCATTTGTATAGTAAGAGATATTAGTAAAAAAATTTACTGATTTAAAAATGGATTAAATTATTTAAAAAAGACAATATGTTTTTTTTAGTAAGAATGTAATTTATTTTATAAAAAAATGAGATAAAGTTGAATTTCAGAGACTCTCTACATCCTTGTGAGATTTGAGATCCATCTTTACCAATTAGTTAGTTAATCATATCCATGACATCTCAAAGTGTCTACAAATTTCAAACTCATTCAAGAGATGAGGACCATCAAAATATGTTTGTAAAGCACCAAATTCATGCCATCTACTAAGCTTCAAACAAATACAAGTCATGTTTCTTCTTCTTAATGTCCACTTTAGAGAATATATAGCTCATGGCCTCGACATTCTCTAAAGTTGACATATATGTTGCCAAATGCCAATCAGTTTTTCTTATCACAGTTTATTGATTTCAGTTTTAATTCAGTTTTCTTCCATCATATGTAAACATTTCATGAGTTAATATATTTTCATTTTGCCTTTTTTTGTCAAAAAGAGAAGAAAAAAACTGCAGTCCAAATAGGACGCTATACATTGGCTTAGGGCAAACTCGGATCTTCATACACACACACCCCTATATGTATCAAAAGCTTATATGGATTCGAAGTGTGAACTTAAGCAACGGGCTTTTGCAAGTTCCAAATAAACCATATTCATAACACTATCGTTTTCAAGAACCAAATGTGGCAGCAGCAATTTTCCATTCTTCTCTGCTAATGAGATGAATCATCAGTCGTCATCAGTATCAAATAAAAACTTATAGTAAGCTACATTATTCACAAGCTGCAAGTAGTAATAACAAGTCTTATTCTACTAACTGGGGTAGATCAACATTCACACTACACCGCTGAGACTTGTTCCTTAAACTCCATGAAATGTAGAAGATCTAACTTCTCCACTTCCATAACAGCACCAAAACTATGATAGGGAGTAGGTGACAGAGGTAGTTATGTATAGTAATAAGTAGCTGCAAGCATCAGCTGTATTTTTTTGTACAGATGTGGGTTAACAGTGTTTATTAAGTGTATCTATAAGGCAGTGATACAAATGAATAGTACACCGATTCTCCTTTCCCTGGAAGCTGACAACTATGAAACAAGACATGGTGTGCGTGACATATATATACAATAGAGAAGTTGTCTATATACCCAAAAAAAAAAAAAAACTGTTCATATTCTCTTCTGCAAGGCAACAAATATTACCATGAAGATAGGAGAAATGAGAAAGAGAAGATAGGGCAGAACTTGATTAAGCGCCCTTTCTTGCACATTGAGGTCTTCTTGTAAAGGGTAGTTAGACTTGCTTTCTATGAAAGCATCAAAATAATTCTGGTAGCCTGTGTTCCATGAAAATGGAGATCCTGTTGTCACCTTCATCATTTCCATAGCCTGCCAGGTTTTAAGATTTACACCATCATGCATGGCAACAAGTATATAAAACAAAAGTTTTCCTATTTTTGTGACGGGCTTAGGTGGAGAAGTCAGGGCATGCTAATATGTGCATTGTCAGATACTATTTAATTATAACCAGTTAATTATTATTAATTTTCAATATATGAAAGTATAACTATGCATCATGAGATTCCGAGGTAAAATAAATAGATCTAAGGGAGAATTACAATGAGATCCCAAAAAAGAAAAATAATTACAAAATAAATCCCAGAAGTTGTCATTTTCCCTTCTGAAATTTGTCATTACATGTTACTTAGGTTGTTATTAGGATTTTTCAGTAATTATTTTTCTTCCTTGGGACTTGATTATACTTCTCCCTAGATCTAATTACTTTAAGAAGTCCTGATATATATTGTTACTGAAATAAAAAGAGAGAGGGAGAAGATTGAGTCCCAGTTCTGTCAATATGATCTCACAAATATGGGGTTTTCCTGTCCTCCCACCCCCCCAAAAAAAAAAAAAAAAACAGCAGCAATATTTTCATGTGGAACAAAATAATTACCTGAAAGCTGAACAAGAACTGTCTTGCTTTCTTGCTCACTTTAGGATTTGGGTGAGATTGGAGTTTCTCATACATAAGTCGAGCTTCATTGGACCTGTCAATTGATCAAGTTGTTACACGAGGCAAGAGAAAAAAGTAAAGAGCATCCACCTAGCCTTTCAAATCAAGAGGCTATTACGGCCCCAAAATAAGATTTGAATAACGCTGATCCTAGTTATGACAAAGAGTCAAAGGCAATAAAAAAGGCAACTCTTATTCAATAGATGGTATGTGATATAATGATCATAGCTAGGAGACTTTTGGTATACAGAATCAGCAACATCCTTAATATTCAATATCTCGAGCTTTTCTCTGGCCATATATTGTTCCCCTCATCAGGTAGAAAATCCTGGGAATTGGCATTATCTCCCTCGCTGAGGCTTAAATTACATCGCTTGATGGGAAAGATTTTGTTTCTGGAATGACACACATGAGGGCTTTTGAGAACCTTACTTAACCCCAAGGTATCAATGCCTGGTTGGGTTTGAATTCTGGGTCATCTCTGTATTCCCAATGCAATTATTATGTTTTTTTGGCATAAGGAGGTCTCGTAGTCAAAATTTTCCTTTTGAATAAAAGACTCCTCCACCAAGAGACAGCCCCGGTTCTCTCTATAATGAAAATATCCAGAGATTTCTTCTAAACCAATGTGTTACAACTAAATTGAATTTCAAATATGATGTCAGAGGCTCTGTTTAGGTTCTTTTTTTCTGGGATTATGAGCATGCGTTGGAGGTATATATCCTTTGTCACATTGAAACATTTTGTATCTAAATAAAAGAATTTGGTGCTTGCATTTGTCTTTCCATGCAAAAGAACATGAAACATATGGAGGCAAGTTATGTATTATTCGAAGAGAATTATAAAGATAAGTACGAGTCATTGAGATAAATTAACCTTTTTTAATTCTCGAATGAAGAAATAAAAGATGCTGGATTAAACACATATAACACAAAGATTTGAATAACGCTGATCCAGTAAATTCAAGTTTTTTTTTTTTTTTTAAATTCAAACTCAGTGGGAGGTTTATATATACCTGCTGAGGGAGTCTTGACAAATTGACCACTGCAAAGCAGCCAATCCATGCAGCTCACTCTGCAGAGACATGATTAATATAAGAAGTTTTCTTTTTCAGTATATTTAGTGAACTCGAGAGGGAGATTAACAAACTTACTAAGCAAAAAGACAACTTGTACTTCTTTCAGCTTTAGCAAGTAGCAGTTACCTTAAAAGTTAATTTCTCCATAACCTTTTCATAGAACGGCAATGCCTCTCTCAGCTTTCCAGCATTCATTAATGAGTCACCTTCCTTCAATGCCTGTAAGCATCATGTTAGTTGGCATAATTATGCTCCAAAGTCATAATAAGCAGCTCAAGATGTGGACAAATAAATCCACAGAACAAAAATAGAGACTGAGTCAGTAGAAGTTTGTTGCAATGCAAAATTTGTATGTCATAAGATATCCTTTTGATTCTGATTTTCATGAATACATAAGAACATTTCTTTTACGAATGTGTGAAATCACATTGACATGAATTTCTTCAAACTATTCAACAAATGAAGTCTACATCTTATTTTTTGTAAGTCAACCAAGAAAATTAAATCCATTTAGCCAGTGATAGTGAGGCAAGAGTTGAAATACTTCAGATGCCATTATATAAACTTACGTCCTCACACTCAGATTTTATCTTTGGATCAATATTTAACCCAATTTCCTTCTTGTAGGCCGCAAGTAATTGTCTTGTTCGTTCTTCTTTACCAGATTTTTCTTCTTCAGTCTCTAGCGCATCCCCAGGACGTATCACTCTTCCTCCGCCGTACTGAAAACACCGAAAAAAATAATTAAACACACAAGATATTTGGAGGGAAAACGGAGGGCAAATTGAGAAATATAACAATTCCTGAACAAGCGAACCGAATGTGAGCAAAGTAAGGATATTGCAAAATTGCAGAGCTCAGTATCAAATATTATATACTGTTTTTGAAATATTGCTGGGTCTAGGAAAGACACCCCAAGTAGAAACTTTTGGCTTGTAAAGATCTGATTCATCTTCCTCAGTTTGCTCAGGCTTGGGAGTTGTTGTTGCAGCACCAAACTTGCTCGTGTCCCCAACAATCAGCTCCACCTCAGGCATATCACTTCTTGAGAAAGAGTCAGAAATTGGAACCAATCCAGGTGGCAGTCCCCTCGTATTTTTTTTATCCGCAAATTCAAGTCCCATGAAATCCATTTTCGAAACTGACAGTTGTCCCTTCTTACCAACACTGTTATCCACAATATTACTTCTTGAAGACCCTTCATTTCCTCCCTGCAATCCTAAGAACCAATTCAATTTTCAAATACACATTTCAGCGCAAACTACATACAGTGGAACACATAGCTTTCCATTTTTAACCATAGACTGAATTAAATACATCAATGCAAGACATTTCTGTTTAGCACAAGATATGCCTGTAGAATTACCTTGACCCGTTTCATCAACCACGCCCCCTTTATTCTCCCTATACTTCTCAGCTTTCTCCATTGCGATCTTCAGAGACGGTGGCACTTCCTTCTGCCCAGAATCATCAACAACATTCTGACCCGAACTCAACCCGTCATTCCCGTTTGATTTTTCAACCGAACTCGCAGCAATGTTTTGCTCAACTTTCAAATCAGAGTTCAATTTCAGCGATTCTCTGTACGCCTTGGCTTTGCTGAAAGCGAGCTTCACAGGGTCAACCGGTTCGGGCTGAGATTCGGGCGTGGCTTCGGAAGATTCAACATTTTCAGGGTTAAGAGCACAGAAAACTTTTATGGGCTTATAGGGGGAGGAGAGGAGAAGAGAGGGTTTTACCGGGGAGATGAGTTTCAATGAAGAGAACCATGAAGGCTGTAAAGAAGCCATCATTTTGAAGATGGTAAGAGAACTAACAGAGGTTTGAGAAGGTGTTTGAAAGGTGAGAAAAGGAAGAAGCCATCGGGAAGACGGAATAACTGTAAGAAAGAGCGATTGCTCACTGCCTTCTGGTTAGATAAGGCAGCAACGCACGGTTCTCCCTCCCGGCTCCCGCCACTTGGATTATTGGGCACATGCGGACCGTTTAAACATATTTTGTTTTTATTTTTACGTCATGTTTTTTTCAAACACCTTACTCTACCTACTTCTATTATTTAGGATGGAGAAATTGCTGAAAAATTAGTAATTAAAAATATTTATAATTGAAATTTGTTAAAAAAAATAGGTAAAAATAGATGCAACTCTTTTCAATTATATACAACATATTTTCAACTCTTTTGGTTTACAAATGATTAAAATTATATTGTATACAGGTGAAGAAAAATTGCATAAACAATTCGATATTTATTATCCACATTCGAATGTTGGTGATAGTATTATGAGCAATTAGTTGCAAGACTGTTTGATTTTAAAAAAAAAATACTCATCAATTTACTTCTGTGTTTTTATAATTCTTTGTCCATTTTTTTAAGCATGGCTTTGATTTTGAACCTTTCAAGTAAGAAAATTTGTTATTATTAGAAGATTTTGGCATTCATTTAGTCTGACTTAATTTAATCCGAATTAATTAAATCTGAACGTAGAGTCATGAAAATTAGTTGACATATAAAATAAATGTTTCCTATTGAGTATGTCAAGAAATTATTATTAAAATATTTCATAAAAATAAACAAATAAAATAAAACTAAACGGTTTACAATTATGGCTTAAAATTAAAAAAAATTAATTTATAAAATACTTTAATAATAGTTTTTTTAAATATTAAATCTAAATGATTCATTTTCGAATCTAAATCTGAGATGGGATTCTGAAAAAAAAAATGAGTGGGACGGCCTAAACCGAAAAGATCTGGACCGTTGAAGCCAATATGATAGAAGTCATGTTGGTCATTTGTATTTTTTTTATTCATAATAAAAATGAAATGATTTTTTAAACTGGGCTTGGGCCCACTTATCTTAACCCAAAAATAAAATGGTAAAGTGATTTTTGGGTCAATCATTTATAAAAAGTGGGCTTATTGCACATACAGGCCTTTATGTGTTTACATAAAAATGAAATGGGCTTCCATGATGGATTCGAACTTCACATATGCCCGACCCAATAATGAAGGGTTTTCTGAATTTGATTGAGACAATAAATAAAGTTAGGGTTTTATCGAGACTTCATATAAAAGGCAGTCCTTATCTTCTTGTATCGCGAGGTCTTTCGTTTCACTCCCCGGTCTGCGAACTGAGGTTCCCTCTTGCTTGAGACCGCGAAGGTCAAAGGAATTTAGCAAAGGTAACATGTCTGTCACTCGCCTATTTCAGTATAGAAATATCCTTTCTTTTAGTTTTTAATTTTTCGTGTGACTATCATTTCCTGCGTTTTCTTGTGGTCGTCGGTAAATTCATTTCATGTAGGTTGTGGGTTTTGCGATTCGGTTAGCATCTTTTCAGATATCTTCCCCCCCCCTTTTGGGAGTGAATATGGGTTTTAAGGGATTGATAAATCCTATTCATATGAGTTGATGATATTTTGGGGGTTTTTTTTTGTATGATTTACTGCGCTCGGCTAAATACCATTGGGTTCTGCTCGCTTTGTTCTTTGATGAAATCAATTTTCCATTATCTAGGATGTTGGAGTGATTTTTTTCTGAGCTCCAGTCTTGGGGATAGAATTGGTGTAGTTGTTTTGGGGGTATCAATTTTCGGCCCGAAGTGTCATATAAGTACTTTCTAGCTCTAGGGATGTTAAATACTAGTGCATTCTGTGAGAGACTTTGGCTTGACTAACCCGTTGCTTATGCTTGTAACCCGGATTTATGACTTATGCTTGATGAGTTTTGGAGTTAATTACTTAATTGATTACTATTATGGTTGTCATCAAGATTTTTTCAACCAGGTATATCTGCATTGCCTCCAAGGATGAATAAAAATAACTTTCGTTCTTCTGAGTTGCTCCTTGCGGAAAATTATTGGAGACCTGAACTGAGGAGGCTTTATGAAAATTAATTTTTTTGTTTTAGTTTCTATAGTAGCCTGTAGTGTTTGAAATTAGAATTAATCATTTTGGGTTTTGGAGAAGATGGAAGAAGAATTTTCAGTCGTATTTTCATTTTGATACAAGTGATCCTATTTATTACCTGTGCTTCACGTTGGTCTTGTATTTTTCCAATTGATACATGGCTGTGTGCATTGTCTCTTAGTTTCCTATGATGAATCTTATGTTCTGGCATTTTATTTCTATGTAGATGAATAGGGAAAAGTTGATGAAGATGGCCGGTTCAGTTCGAACTGGTGGGAAGGGTACCATGAGAAGGTATATGCATGTACCGATCTGGTGATCTTCATTCAATTGGTGTTATGGTTAGCAGATACAGGATAGATTATTGCAGATGCTCTTTTTTATTTTAACTTATTGGTATTTGTCACCTGAACCTGTATTTCTCTAAAGCAAATATATATCCATTTTGAACCCAAACCCCCCCCCCAAAAAAAAAAAAAAGAAGGAAAGAAATTCATTTTTTGTGTGTTTCTCCCCTTCCATTTCTGCATTTTGTATCTTACCATAGAAGTTAGCATCTTTACAAGCAAATCAACATTATGCCTTTTTCTTTGTGCTTGTGCACGATGCATTCTGGAATATATCTTTAGCTATTACCCCAGATTAGACGTTGAGTTCAATTTTGACGATGCCATGAATTCTAACAACTACAGAAAGAAGAAGGCCGTCCACAAAACAACAACTACAGATGACAAAAGGCTTCAGAGCACCTTGAAGAGAATAGGGGTTAATGCTATCCCTGCAATTGAAGAAGTTAACATCTTCAAGGATGACGTAGTTATCCAGTTTTTAAATCCTAAAGGTAATGTCTGTTTCGTCCGTTCTTTTTTTTGTTTTTAAATGCATCTTGACAAAATTTGAGTATTGACTGCATTGTTAATTTATTTTTTCACAGTTCAAGCATCAATTGCTGCCAATACCTGGGTTGTTAGCGGTGCTCCTCAAATAAAGAGTAAGTATCTTCATTAAAGTGATAATAAGATACGCTATTATCTGACTGAAAAGATGTGATTTGGAGTGTAAAGGAAATTTTTCGCGCACTCTGCCAATATTCTGGAATTTAACATGCGCTCCATTCTTGAAGATAATTCAAAGCAAGAATTGTGTTTAAAATTTGACGTATTATTTCTCTCTTGCAGAGTTGCAGGATATGCTCCCTAACATTATCAATCAATTAGGTATGTGCCTCACATGTCATTTCAGTTACAAAACTTTCTTTTTTTCTGCGTACTGATTACTGAGGAGTGTCGTTTGTTCCATGAACACGTTGCAGGACCAGATAACCTGGAAAATCTGAAGAAGCTGGCAGAGCAGTTCCAAAAGCATGCTCCTGAAGCAGCAGGTGCTGGTACAACTGCGGCGCAAGAGGAGGATGATGACGAGGTCCCAGATCTTGTTGCTGGGGAGAACTTTGAGACAGCTGCTGAGGAGAAGACCACCCAAGCATCTTAGACTAGAGCTTGACTGTGCCAATATTTGCTATTGTTTCTAAGATTTTTCCCCCCTCTGAAATTTAAGTATTTTCAGGTGCTTATTGTTTACTTTAAATAGTTGCAACAATACTCCTGAATCGGCTTTCCGTCCTCTTACTAATACCTTACTTTGAGTCATTCGTGCGCCTCATCGTTGAAGCTAGAAGCCAGTTTTGCTGCATAACATGCAATCTGAGTTAACATTTGGGTCCAGGAAGCAATTCATTAGCCCAAGTAGGACTTACTAGTTAGATTATTTCTGAATTAACGTTAGTGGATTTTTGCCGAAAGTTTTCTGCCTTAATATGCCTCATAAATTGATTAGAAGTATCCTCAACGTTAGTCATCTCGACGGCAGTTTATAGGTGAGCCAACTGTTTTGTGCATTTGAAGCTTCTAAAGAGCAGTTCACAGCTCTAACATTAGTCAAATTTCTCTGTACTTGATGTGGCAACGGAAACGTTTGTCCAACATTCATTGTCATGGGGACTCAAGTACCCGGTTTCGTAAATGAACTGTTATGGGCCTTCGTTCAATAGTTTAACAGGCCCAGTAAAGATGACCCGACCCGTTATAATGTCAAGTTCAATTTGGATTAATTGGGCTTGTTAGTATGGGCTCGGGCCAAGAAAAGGGGCCTAGGAACCTGTTTGGATATGCACACAGGCTGTTATATCTACTATCTAGCCAATATTAAAAATAAGAGTAAAATACACTGATCATTTTTTTTTTTTTAATTAAAGAAACTTTTTTTTTATTTTAAAAATGTATATAAACCTCTCTTATAATTAAAATGTATGTTACACGAACTTTACTTGTATATTTAATATTCAATTTCTATCCACTTAAATTGTTAGTTGACCGTTAAGTTTGATTTTAAATTTTTTTTTTTATCAAAATGCTCATTTTAACTTAATAATTATTTAGACATTTATATTTTTCAAAACATATTTTTTATAAAATCAAAAATAAGTCTAATACGTATATTTTTAAAATTTCTAATATTATAAAACTTATTAATTTTGATCTCAATCATAAAATTTTAGAATTTTAATATTTTATCACATTCATTAAAAATTATTTACTTTGATTTCTTTTAAATTGTAAAAACATGTTTCAAATACATAGTTTTTATTTATCGTAGAGTTTAAATAATATAAGTTTAAAATATTTTATAAATTATTTAATTTTATAATTCAAAATTTTTAAACACATCTTTGTTACAAAAATTTATAAACATATTTAGTCAAAGTATGTATGTATTTATTAAAAAATCAGTTAAAGTTTTAATCAAGTCTTTTGTGTTTGCTTTAAATGAATAAAATTTATGTAACTATAGAAATATAATTTAGAAATTTATTAGAATGAAGGGTAAAATAGTAAGTAAAATTTATTTTAATATAAATTTCAGTTAAAATAATGTTTTTAGATTTTTTTTTTTTAGAATATTCCTAATGGTGTTAACTTATTGGATTAAACTGCATATTTTTAAAATAGAAGGAATGTCTGTGTAATTGATACAAATTAGAAGGATAGTCAGTGTATTTTACTCTAAAAATAAACAAATAAATGAGCTTATAAAACCTCATTGGTAAAATATAAGTAGGCAAAATCCACATGAAAATATGTCTCTTTTGGTAAAAGCTCATTCCTCCTCATCACTCATTTATTTCCTTGTAAAGAGTAGGGACATTCATATTATTGTGATTTTGTAATTTCATTTAATCTTTCCATTTGATTTTTATATTCTAAATGATTATCATTCTATTCTGATGGTTTACAGTTTCCATCACAAACTTCTATAAATATAATATAATTTTTTAAAAAAACAAAAGGTTTCAAAACATACACATGCGTATAAAGTTTCTACCAAGATTGGAGTCAAAATAAAGGGATGATTAGAAGCATTTTCAAGATAAATTAAATTAATAGTTTGTGATAAGGTGATGAGAAAGTTTTATCATGCTAAACATGAAAATAAAGGAAGTGCTTCTTCCCCAACTCAAAGTGTAAATTAACCTACCTTCAGGTAGATTAATGTTCCGGTCTCCACTTATTTCTCACTATTTTCCAACACTAGAAAGTATAGAAAATAAAATATATAGGCTCAATTTATATTTAATTAAAAAGATAAAAACTTTTCTTTTATTTTTTAAAAATATCTTACGTTTAAGTTTAATTTTATTTTAATTTATTTGATCAGTTTAGATATTATATTTGTTGAGTTAAAAAATAAATGAAGGAGATTCGTCATTAAAAAATTACAACTGAAGCAAAAATCAGAAAACTTGCATGATTTGGTCGTATCTTAAGCATGATTTGAGGAATATATTTATTTAATATAATGCGTTTTACTGAAAGAATGCTTGTCATGATTAAATTGACTTCTATACAGAAGTAAACTTCTGAATCAATCTTTTTACCCTGTGTCATAATTACAAGAGACACTTGGAAGCTTCATAGAATTAATTGGAAAAATAGAGGTTCTAAAATAATTTATTTTTGAAAAAAAAAAAACCCTTATTAACATAGAGTGAGAGAAAGAATAAGCAAATACTCCCTCTAGTCTTTTTTAAATAAGATTCTTTTAACTAAGTTACATATTAAAATTAGTTAAAAACAATAAATATATAAAAATTAAACCACTTTTTTAAATATGTCTTTATTTCATGAGGGAATAAATAAAAGAGAAAAATACTAGTAGTGAGATAAATAATGAAAGAGAATATAATATGATGGGAAAAATGAGGAGAGATAACAGAAAATTAATTAGGAACAAAATTGGTAAAAATATGTTTAATATTCAGACACTCTTACGTGGGATCTTATAAAAATGATCAAACTAATTCAAATTTTGGGATCTCATAAAATGAATTGTGAGAGGGAGTTAGAATTAATGCAATGAGACTAATCAATAATTAGTTGGACTAAAAATAAAAATAATACTACCTCCTGTCCTTATTATAAGTATGTAATAACTACTTTACATAAATTAATAAAATTAATTATTTTTTGTAAAATATCAAAATATCATCCATGAAAATCATCATTTAGAGAAGTTTGTTAATTAGTTATCAAGTCTTATTAGCTTGTTAGGAATACTTGATGGAAAAATTACTGCTTTAGACAAAATATATTATATTATGAAACACGTTGGAGGTTCTTATAATCAAAGAGGTCTGTGTGTATATAAAAGATGTGGATCCAAATCCCACTATCACTATAAAAATCTTGTTCGTCTCAAAAAATAAATTGTATATAATTCTGTAATCACATCTTAAACTATAAAAACTCTTCTAATTTGCTGATCCTAAGGCTTAATTAATCTAAATTTTTTAAACCAAAAAACTAATGGTAGGTAGGATTATAATGTTTAATTGGGAAGTTTGGTTTCTAAGCATTACATATATGTGCCCTTGGAAGGGTTTGTTCATTTCACCATTGAACGAACAAAAAGTAGATCAAAGTGAAGTGACGGATAATTGGCCTAAACCTCAGAACCATCCAAGTTGTTTCCCACGAAAAAGGCAAAGCATTTATTCCTTTTTTTTAAATTATTATGTATATTTTCAATCATCGCCCACTGTATTTCAGAATAGAACATGTTCATATTCTCCATGACAATTGAGACTATTCTTTTCAAAAAAAATTATTTTATAAAATACTCTAGTAATATTTATAAGTCACTTCTAACGTGACTCTAGTAATATTTATAAGTCACTTCTAACGTGTTTCACACATAAAAAAAATTTATTAACTCTTATTTAAAATTTAGTCACTTTTCTATTTTATCGTTATTTAACATAAATTATACCTTGTGAGAATAAAGTCAACATAATAATAAATTAAAAATAAAATTATAAATTTATATGAAATTTTTTTCTCTATCCTATAAATAAGAGTAGAAGAGTAATATGTACTCTGCATAGAAAAGAATAGTTCAAGAATATATTTAGATTCAGATTCCTTCATTCTTTTATCGGAATTTCGACACACTGGAAACTGATCCAAACCGTTTAATTGATTTGGATAATTTAAATTCTTTATTAAAAGTAAAAAGACGACGGTAAGTCTAAACAAATAACTTCCCTGGTCCTATTTTGAAGACATAGATAAGATTTCTTTTTTGTCTTATTTATAAATCACTTCATTAAATTTTATTATAAATGTACTATATTATCCTTTATTTATTATAATGTAGATAATTAATTTTTGAAAGGTGTATATATTAAATAGAGGTAAAATTAAAAGGTTACTATATAATAGAGTTAATACAGTTTATGGTTTTTCTTAACCTGTACGAACATGTTGAAAGTGTCTTATAAATGGGACCAGAGGAGTAACTCGGTTGACTCATTTAACTCTCTAGTTACATAAATCAATTTTATTTGATCCAACATTAAAAAAAATTAAATAAGGACAAAATTACTTATAACTTTCAGGTAAGAAAATTAAATACAAACAGGTCTCAAAAATTTTATATTTATAAGTCAAATTTAACTATTTATTTTCCCCATTCAAAATTCCATGCTTACTGACTTGTATCATTTAAATAGAGTTTCAACTAAACTCAACTTATCAAATTAGTGAATTCAACATATTAACTTATCAAACTTGTTTTTTTTTTGTCAAAAAACTTTTTTTTATGACAATAACATTTAAAATTCTAAAAAAATAAATTTGTGGAATCTATGTATCTCATATTAATCTAGTGAAGAAAAATTCCCATCTATCTACTACCATCTATAGTCATCTACAGCATGTTTTACAATAACGGTTTACTTAGTGCCATAAAAGATACTCACTCAATCTTCAATGTAAAACATATTTTATAATGTACAACTTACATTTAAGACTAAATGGAGTATAATGTGATAATAGCATGACTAAGATAGACATGCAACATTTTTCCCCCGACAGATCATGTTAAACTAAAAAGTCATATATATAATATATGCATTAATTCTAGTGAACAAAGTTATGACCAATTAAGCACAAGATTTTGAATTCAAATCTCTATAAATGCAAAAAAAAAAAAAAAAGAGAGCTAACCTATTCAGATGAATCTACATTATAATGCTAGATATAAGTTAGGGTTAAGATACAAAGTTTTTTCTTAGAAGCAGTAGACACCCAAAAACTTTTGAATTTGAATTCAATATTACCCAAAAGTTTAAAATGGTACTCCTTCGGTCCTTAATATAAGACCCATTTAACTAATTTGATTAGATTAAGGAAGTTAGGTAAGTTAGTTAATTATAAAAAATG